GTAGTGTAATTGGAGCCTATATTAGAATGATTCCATAACTTTTTTTTTTCTTTGCACATGCAAGTTTTTTTGGGAGAAAATTATGTTGGGAGAAAATTATGAATTGTATATTAAACATTGAGGGTACACAAAATAGATGGTACAAGTAGACTTGGACTTAAAATTAAAATAAAAGATAAATAATACAAAAAAAAATATCTATAGCTGACACTTCTTTAAACTCAAGATGGGACGATAAAACCAATTTGAGTTTGCTTAAAAGAACAATCAGAAAAGATTATGAAGAAGATATTTGGTGAGATATCTGTTGTCTGATCTGCGGAGGAAACCAGAACAATATGGACAATACTATGGATGACATGATGGCGAATAAATTAGCAGTCAAACTCAATATACTTAATGCACTCATGAAAAGTATCATTATGTGCTATCTTCATATCACTCTAACTATCGCAGTGAAGAGCAGTAGAAGATGAATAAAGTACACCAAAATCAGTGAGTAATCGATGTAGCCATTCGAATGTAGAGTCAACAAAAACACGATATTTTGACTTAACACTTAATCAAGAAACTAGAGTTTGCTTCTTGCTACGCCAAGAGATTAGAGAATAACCAAGAAAGAAGCATAAACTAGTAGTCAAAAGATGATTGGTAAGGTCACCACCCAATCAGCATCAGAGTAACCGCTAAGTGTCAAAGAGAAACGGGATGAGAAGTCTAAACCATGTAGAATAGTACATTTCACATAATAAAGAATGTGCAAGACGGATGAGTTGTGAGATGTCCTCGGAGCAGTCATGAACTATCTCACTATATGAATTGCATGAGCAATGTAAGGCCGAATGATAGTCAAATAGATCAAACTCCTAATAAGTTAACGATATTGAGTAAAATCGTCAAGAAGAGAGCAATCTTAAGAAGTGAGTCGAACGTCATAGGCAAGTGGTGTGGAGACTATCTGACATAAATGAGATCAACCCGAAAGATAAGATTAGAGGTATATTTAGTCTGAGATAGATAGAAACTATCGGGACAATCAGAGACCTCAAGTCCCAAAACATAACAAATGAGACCTAAGCTCTTAATCTCAAACTGCTGACTGAGATATGCCTGTAGATAAAAAAATGCCATACACATCAACCCCCGTCATGATCATATTATCAATATAAATTAAGATGATAATTATCCCTAAGGAAGAAATACGAAGAAATAAACAAAATCGTAACCATACGTAGTAAAATCAAACTCCAATAGTGCAGACGTAAATATGGCATACTAGGCCCGAGGGGTCTGCTTCAACCCATATAAAGTGCAATGTAAACGACAAACCTTCCCAAAAAATAGAAAACCTAGAGAAGGAATCATGTAAACTTCCTTGGAAATAGCACTATGTAAGAATGCATTATTGATATCTAATTGAAGAAGAGACGAACAACTAACAACAACAACTGCAAGGAGACAACGAACAATAGTGAAACGAGCAACTAAAGCAAAAGTTTCTTCGACTTCATATTCATGGGAATAACCCTTAGCCACTGGATGAGCCTTGTAGAGCTCAATAGAATTATCGGAATTAGTTTTGATTTTGAAAATTTACTTGCACCCAATGAGTGTCTTGCCAGAAGAAAAATTCACCAAGTCCCAAGCGTGAGTCTTTTCCAAAGTCTACAGTTCTCAGTCATATTTTATTGCTACAATGGATCACCACTTGCCTTACGAAATGATCTAGGCTCATGGTGAGATAAAATGACAGTAACAATAATAATCAATAAGGTGAAATGAAGGTCTACTTACTTAGGTTGACGACATCGATCATGGAGAAACTCAAAATGAGGCATCGGCTGAGAAGAAGTAGATGGTTCAAATCCTAGAGATGGTGACAAGGCAAATTAATCAATAAATTGAGACATAGATGACGTAGGAGTGGCAACAAAGAGGCCAGGGGGAGAAAGATGAAAAAAAAACGGAGAAGATAAATTAAACAGTATTATCAAGCCATGTTAACACACATTTTACTTTCGATTAAGATAAAAAAAAATTAAAATTAAATTATGGAATTGAACTTTTCAGTAAAAAAATCAATATATAATAGCTTTAGGAACTTGTTAATATTATAATTATTATATAGTCTTAATTTAATTTTGATATTATTTAAAATTAATGTTAATAATATATTAGGAACCTGTTAATATTGACGTAAATTCATAAGATAATCAAATTCAAGAAGTTGATGGGCTATATATATGAATGGTATATGATAGGTTATGAAAGTATATTCCAAAACTATAAAAAAATATGCGAAAAAAGTCTGAATTTAGTGTTTTGAAGAGGGTATTAACAAATAAAAAATATGCGTACATGGCATGTGATAAATTATAAATACTCTCTACACAAAATATTTTTAAAAGAGTAGGATGTCCCGTCAATCTCAATGTCATAAAGAAAGAAGATGAATCATTGATTATTTTGAAAACAGTTACAACACACAATCATGATTTTGATCCAAATATGTCAATTTTAATGTCCGCTCATAGGAAAATTAGTGTACACACCGAGAAACAATTGAAGGCTAATGATATTGCGGGTATAAGGTCAAGTAAAAACATTCGATTGTGTGAAGTTCAAGATGGTGACCCTGAAAATATTGAATGTTTTCTAAACAATTGTAGAAATTTTATAGGGGTATTTACCATTTATATCCTCATATTTGAACCCTTTTTTTATTATTATTATGTCCCCCTAATATTAATTTCGTAAAAAATATCCCTAACTTTTACTAATCGACGCCAAATCTAATCTAGTGGCCAATTAGAAAATTGTTAATTATTATTTACGAGTGTTTTTTTTTCTCTCTTCATTAATGTTTTCTCCTTTTTTTATTATTATTATTATTATTATTATTATTATTATATTTAAGTTTATTATTATTATTATTATTATTATTAACTTTGTATGTTAAATAAAAAGTTATTATTTTATTTGTCCGATTAAATTAGTCCAATTTCTATTTTGCACTCAATTTAAAAAATTTTAGTTTATATAACTAATTAGTTTGATTAATTTGTATAATATTTATAATAATATATTATTTTAAATGTTCTTTATTTGATGAAAAATATTGAAATAAAAATTAAAATATTTTTTATTCTAATTTTTAATATTCTATATTTTATTTATTGAAATTATTTTATTTTAAAAAATTATTATATTGATTATAAATTCAAGATATGCAATTTGATGGGAACGAATGTGTAGTCCAATAGCGAAACTCTCATGCTATTTTACCATACCGAGATATTGTATCAATAGTTTGATAAACTAAATTTATGGATGAAATAAATAGCGAATTATTGAAATAGCACATATCTTACTAAAAAAATTACCGAAAATATCAAATTTGTACGACATCAATATATTTTTTATATATACCAAAAAATTCGGTATGGTATACATTATGATCCAGTATTGTTGGTATACCGCATCAAGCCATCTCTAATCGATTGCACGTATAGTATCAAAATATAATATTTTACCCCAAAATATCGAAATTAAATATAATTTTATAATTTTAAGATTGTATTAAAATTAATTATTTTAGTATCAATATACAAAATTATATATATACCGATATTTCGAATACTAAAATATAAAAAATGTATATGATATTTTCGATATATAATATAAAAAATGCTAAAAAGTATATACAGTTATTGTACCAACAAAATTGGATATGGTATCACACAATATAAAAATTTACAATATCAATCATTTTGAACAAGTTGATATTTTCACTATTACTTACTATAGTGATAAATAATTTTTTTTTTTGTTTAAAACATAGAAATTAAATTCAAGAATTAAATTTCAATATTAACTAATTTTTAATCATAAAATATTAAATCAAACAACAATTTTTTTTATATTATATAAAAGTTAATTTAAAATTTTAAACATCACATAAACACTTATTTATATAATATTTAATATTTATTATTTAAAATTTAACCCCCAAATTCTAAATTTACAATCAAATAAAATAATAAAAGTTAGGAGTATAGCGATTTAATAAGATATTGTTAAATTCTTAATTTTAATTATTATTTGTTAATTATTACTTATATTAAGAAATGCTACTAATTTTACGGAACGAGCTAAAAAAAGATGAACCATCTTTGTGAGTCAAAATAAATACTCCATCGATTCCGTCCGTCTCACATATTTTGTCTTTATTTTTTTTAAAATATAGTTATACACTTTAATTAAATTTTAAAATTTATAATTTATTTTTTTTATTTTAATTAAACAATTTAAAAATCTCAAATTTAATTTATAATTATTTTTATTAAATCAGAATTATTTTTACTAATACACTTTTTAATTTCTTACCACAAATACATAAACTTAAACTAAAGGCAATCATTTAAGTGAGGTAGATGGAGTATTATTTAAATTATTTTAAAAATTAATGATTTAATAACATGGAAGAAAAAAATTGTAAGTGAATTTATTTAATATAAATATAAAACTAAATGATTTTCAAAAAAATTTAAAAAAAAAAAGAAAAAGAGAGAGATAGAGAGAAAACCCATTAAGGGTGTGTTTGTTTGGATGATTGAATTGGATTTACATTATTCATCTAATTTTTTTCCCCAAAAATATCAAATTAAACATTTATTTTTCATTTTTTATATTATATTAAAAATCAATTTTACATTCAAAACATCACATCAACGCGCTATGTTTATATTACATTATATAACTATTCAAATTCAAAATTTTTTCTTTTAAATGACAGTTCAAAATCCAAATCCTCAAACAAGCACACCCTAATTTCATTGATGCGAATGCAATTACGTAATCAAAGTATTCTAGAACTTTGGCCAGACAGTCGAATTGGAAATACTATTAAAATTCTGACCAACAAGAATGGCCACTACTTTGTATTTTTATGGGCAGACAATTCTAGTAAAGCACCACGGAAGAGACGGACAAACCTACGCCAATGATCTGTCACGATGCAAGATTTTTCTTGCGCTTGAAAACCAAGTTTTGGAACTTTTCAGAAACACTTTTACCTAATGGATTCACAGCTAAATCTTTCCCCACTCTTTATAAAAAGCTTCAACGCACTGTTTCTTCACTATTCATTGCCCATATCCATTTCCATATTCATATCCATATTACTTCTTCCATGGACCCGAAATCAAAATCGAAATCGAAACCGAAACCGAAACCGAGAACAATCGTGGTGATGGTGCCACTGGTGGCGCAAGGGCATCTCAACCAGCTACTTCACCTTGCCCGCCGCATCGCCGCCCACGACATCCCAGTGCACTACGCCAGCACCGCCACCCATGTCCGACAGGCGAAGAATCGTGTCCACTGTTGGGACCCTGCAGCGTCGGCGAACTTATATTTCCACGACGTTCGATCCCCAGGCATCAGCAACATCCAACCTGACCCGAATTCCGGCAACAAATTCCCATCTCAGTTGATTCCGTTGTTCAAGTCCGCCATTAAGGATCTCCGCGAGCCCGTCTATGAGCTGGTGCAAGCGCTTTCGGAGGGAGCAGAACGCACGGTGGTTGTTTACGACTCGATGATGGCGTACACCGTGCAGGATGTTGCTGCTCTGCCTAATGTAGAGGCATATTGCTTCCAGAGTATATCGGCATTTTCGTTGTATGCGTTTTACTGGGAAGTCACCGGAAAACCGGATGTACCTGAAGAAGCAGCCGCGATCAAGTTGACGCCGTCGTCGGAAGGCGCTTTTGTACCTGAGTTTGCAGAGATATCAAGTTTGCTCATAGCAACACCAAAATTCCAAGCTGGAGAGATTTATAATACATCAAGAGTGATAGAAGGAACGTACCTCGACTTGCTGCATAAAGGAAAGATAACCGGAGCCGACAAACAGTGGGCTATGGGACCATTCCATCCCCTGCTATTGAAACAGAATACAGACAGCAAGAGTAATAACAAATGCTTACAGTGGCTGGACGAGCAAGGGGCCGACTCTGTCATCTACGTCTCGTTTGGAAGCACGGTCTCTTTATCAAACACGGAAATCGCAGAGCTGGCCGAAGGGCTGGCGAGGAGCGAACAGAAGTTCCTATGGGTGTTGAGGGATGCAGATAAAGCGGACATTTATGATGGGGAGGTCAGAAGAGTCCAACTGCCGGAAGGATTCGAGGAGAGGGTGGCTGGGAGAGGGTTTATCGTCCGAGATTGGGCGCCGCAGTTGGAAATCCTTGGACACGAATCAACAGGAGGATTTATGAGCCACTGCGGATGGAATTCGTGTATAGAGAGCATCAGTATGGGCGTGCCGATAGCAGCTTGGCCTATGCACTCTGACCAGCCAAGAAATTCAGTCCTCATAACTGAAGTGCTCAAGATAGGCCTGGAGGTGAGAGGTTGGGACCGTCGAGAAGAAGTGGTGTCGTCTGAGATGGTGGAACAGACGGTTAGAAGATTGATGGCATCGAAAGAAGGAGACATGCTCAGACAGAGAGCAGCAGACATCGGAAAAGCTGTGAGGAAATCGGTTATGGAAGATGGCGTCGGGCGCAAGGAGTTAGCTTCATTCATACAGCATATCACTCGATAGCTTTCAACCCTCAAAAACTGAATAAGAAGAGGAATTACCGAATTATTTTTGCGCTGTAGCAAACGAATCGATTGAAGAAGAAGAAGAAGATTAGGAATTTAGGTCAGGATTGATTGTATTCTAAATGATTCAGCAGCAAAGCTTGATTCAGAAAGTAATTGTAAGTGTGAAGTAACTTTGGTTGAAAGATATTTCAATTAGATATCAATAATGTATTTCTACATGGTGATTTGTGTGAGAGTGAGACTATCTACATGACACTCCCCTCCATCTACATGACACTCCCCTCCCTCAGGGTTATTTTGAGATGTTTAAAAAATAAGGTGTTCCTTCTAAAAAAAATAAAAAGAGTCCTTTTATAGGAATGAGAAGTTAAAATCAGTTCTACATATTTATTTTGAAACACCCCAGAGTAGAAATTGTCTCGAAATAAGTTTCGAAAAGTATTTCGAGAGTATGAATTGTCTCGAAACAAGTCTCAAAATATATTTCGAAATTTGAATTTTCTTTAAATAAATTGCAAAAATATCTCGGGAGTATAAATTGTCTAAAAAACAAGTCACGAAAGTAATCCGAGAATATATGTTATCTCGAAATGAGTTGCTAAATATGTTCCGAGAGTATAGATTGTCTCGAAATTAGTCATACAATATATTTCGAGATTTGAATTGTCTCAAAACTAAATTGTGAAAAATATTTTGAGTATAAATTGTCTTGGAAAGAGTCACAAAAATATTTCGAGAGAATCCATTGTCTCAAAACAAGTTGTAAAATATATTCCGAGAGTAAATATTATCTCGAAATAAATTACAACACATATTTCTATATTTTGAATTCTCTTGAAATAAATTGAGAAAAATAGTCCGAAAGTAAAATTTTTTTCTAAATATATTATAAAAAAATAATTTAGTTTGTATGCCTTGCGTACTGAATCTTGTTTAATCAAAATTTTGACCCTACTTTTTTTTAATTTTTCAATTTACTTGTTGTGGCGCCGATTTCAACATCTCAATATTATTATTATTATTATTATTACTATTATTATTATTATTATTATTATTATTTTGTTCCGAAAGTGGCATCAATTATTATTATTATTATTATTATTATTATTATTATTATTATTATTATCTGATTAAAATCACGACTAATTCCACGTCATTTTATTAAATAGTTGTGACTTTGGTGTGATTTTTTTGGCATTAATTTCTTTTATTTGTGTAGCATTAATTTTAATTTGTATACATATAGTATAAATTTAATTATAGATATTGTTTTATATTATATTCTAAATATAAAAATAGATCATATATATAATATTTTGAATACACTAATTTGTATTAAAATATACTCCTATGTTCATTAGTAATTTTAAAAGAAGGTAAATAAATTATATTCTATTTGATTTGTCAATATGATAAAATTTGATAAATCAAATCTAATTTAAATTTATAGAACTTAAATATATATTATTTATATTTCTATTGAAGTCAATTAAAATATAAATATTTTAATAATAAATTTTTTTTGGAAGACTAAATACTATGTATTTTTAAAATTAAATCTATCTTTCAATAAATAAAATTAAAATTACAATAGATAAATATTTTATCCAAATACAAAAAATAGAATATTGTTAAGAGGGATTTCTTCCACTCAATTATTTTTCACACTCCCATTATTTTCACCCACATTCACATTAACTCACCCCACTTGTAACACTTCCAGTTGGCACATACTGGAAATGCTACCGCCACCTTGCATCATGAGGTCGTCACCTCTTACTTCGGGCTCCACAATACAGTGTTAAGGCTAAAATTAACCATAAAAGCGCATTATTATATAACAAAATTTGATTTATGAATATTTACAAAACACACTCCTAAACAAGAGGTTTTTCCGGTTAAAAATTTATATATAATACAATAGATGTAAGTTCACTCACTCAGCCCGTCTTTCTATATCCCGAGACGTCCCCTGTCTCGGATGTGCTATGCATACCTGAAACAAATATTTTTCTTAAAAGCAGTCTAGAATTAAATCCATTTTAAGAACTAACGTGAAATATGTCATTTCATATCTTTTTAAAATAAAGTCTAATTCTCGTTAATTATAAAATACGTGTCATGTCATGCCAATAGTGAAATGATGCAATACAGATATCAAACTCGACAACAATGCACATCCACATATATACATATATACATCCGCCGAAGTGAGCAGCCGGAATAACCTCGGCTCTATAATCATAAGCTCACTACATATGTCTAAGTGAGCAGCCGGAATACTCTCGGCCCCGTAATAACAAGCTCACTAAACCATCATCAATAAATAGCCGGAAAATCCTCGGCTCAAGGAAGGACCTGATAAACCCATAATAATATAACGGTCATCCGGTCACTTCCATATACCCACCATACGACTCTCACAATCAATACATTGCCGAATGTTGTCGTCATTAACCACAAGACGCCCCATAGTCTGTGATAGCGAAGATAGGACCCCCACTGACTAGCTATATCCCGTGTAATGTAGTAGAATCCGTGCAACCTTAAATCACCCAAGGGAAACCCGGAAACTCTACTCCTCCTCGCGCGCCCTGACGGGATCACGTTTGGAGTTTGACATATGATCCTAAACTACCGGTAGACCTCACTAGTGATCAGTCCAATGAGTGGAACAACACCGAACACGAATAATTAGACCAAATACGTCTCAACTACAATGGGTCTAATCCCTGAATGACCATGCGACTAAGTCACCCAGTTGTCCGACTACTATCGTCCACTATAGCCAAAGTGTTACGGTACATCGGGGTTGAATATCCTAACCCCAGATGATGCCCTCGCCTAGCACTACCGCACACGGCGACTAGACGATAGATCCATAAAACATATCCGGTAAACCGTGCAATATGTGTGCAACATACCAAATTAGTGAATTTACCGAAAAGGGTTAGTGAGACAACTCACCTATTCTCCTTTTAATAAATTCACCAACGCAACATATCAAATATCATAAACCGTGAAGTCTCCCACATGCATACGCAAACATATATATATAAATATATACATGCACTGACAAAATGATTCACATAATATCACATTAACATATTACTCAAAATCACATACAACATGCATACCTAATTTCTTAAAATTAGATTTAATTCCTTACTGTTTACCTCTTATCGACACTCCCTATCTTTCGCAATTTCACCCAAATCTCTTCCAACGTACACCTGCTCCATTATTTACTCAAATCAGCTGACCTATATGATTATACATAGGAGCTACCTGCTTATTCAAAAGCTAATTTTTATAATTAGCTCGTTGGGTTTCAAACTTTTATATTTAGTAGACTATGATATTCTAGCTATAAAACTCTTATACCTCATAATATTTATATCACCCAATTATTAAATAAAAATACTTAAAAATATGAATAAACAGGCAGGTGCACAGTACACTGCCGTTTTCGATTCGGCTCGGATCGATACGAAATTTTCAGAATATAATGCTAGGACTACGAATAGGCTATTAGCTAAAGAAATTCGTCGATTAAATATCCAAATAGCCAGTTATGAATTTTTGAAGAATTTCTAATTTAATATTCCAAATATCGAAATTCATATTAAAATTCATAATTAAATTTTGCATATAACAAAGAATATAATACCGAAGTCGGAGTCGAAATCGAAAGACTAAATCTTTTTCTTTCTTGTTTCTTGTTTCTTTCTTTCTTCCTCCTCTGCTTTCGGTTCTTGTGTTGCCTTCCAACATGGGTTTGCTTGCTTGCTTTTATATATATATATATATAATTATATTATTATATATATTATAATATATTAATATTTTTATTAATGTTACTATTATTATTATTAACATTATTATTATTATCATCCTTATCTTTATATGTTCTTATATATATTATATATTATATTTTATATTCATCATTATTGATATTTATCTGTTTAACAGTCTTTTTAATCATAACTAATATATAAAATAGGAATAAAATTTATTCTAAAATATTAATTTTTTGATCTCAAAATATTATAAAAATATTTATTTGCTATAATAATATTATTTTATACACTCCGAAATCGGGGCATTACACCACTTATTTCACACACCCATTTATTTTACATGTAAGTTATTTTTCAATCTCATTAAAAGTTATTTCTCAACCTCATTAAACTATTACTTTGCTCTGGCCAAACAATTCCCACGGACCACTTTGTTCTTGCCGCCGTTGGATCCACCGCCGCGGCCATGGATCTTGGTAATAAATATTTTTTTTTTCCACGCTCATACGACACTGCCAGACAATTCTGCTGCAGCCACCGGACCTCTCTGTTGCTGCTGCGTCTTCGGATCCACCACCATCACCATCGAAATTTCTAGTATTGAATTTCTGGTCTTTTTTATATTCGATAATTTTTTATCTTTTTCTTTGTCTAACATCCTCTATTTCCATCTATCTTTTTTCATTATGCTGCTGATTTTGCAATATAACAAAAACATGAAGAAAAGAATATAATAATATAAATATTTTGCAAGATTTATATATAATTTTACTTTTTAAAATTATATTGTTGGGGATTTCATTTTTATTTATATGTTGCAGAATTTTTTTATTTAATTTGTATATATGCAAGTTTTTTTGTTTTTTCAATGTAGCGAGATTTATCTATATGTTGCAGAATATATATATGTATACTTGCTATTGGAATATTGGAATATGTTTCTAGGATTTTATTTTTTTTTTATTTTAAGAAAAATAAATTTAATAGAGAAATAGGAACGACAACCAAAGCTCCTGCATAGAAGGCTGGTGCTAGGTGCATTGAGCTCGTGCCTTTTGCGAAGAAGAAATAGAAGAGCCATTACAAGAAGCAACTGATCCGGTATGCCGATCAACTCTTTACTACTATATATTATTATTGGAAAACTTGGAGAGAGATAAATATATATATATATAATAGTTTCGACAAAATATGATTGTGTTGTTAGCATATTTTTTTGGAGTAAAAACTTCTCTTCAGGACTATAATCTTTGACTTATTAGATCAATGCCACTTGTTTTTTTTTTTTTTTTGAAAAAAAAGGTTAAGGTTATATGCTTAAAATAATTTATATGTCAAATGTATAATGTATATTTACTAAGTGTTGTTATTATAGTTATTACGTACAATTGATTTGAATACATCAATATATGAAGTAAGTGTCAATTGTAATTGATAATAGGAATTGCATTTAAGTTGAATAATTTCTGAGCTTGAAATTCACCAAAATTTATTGGTGCAAGCCAAATGACATGTATGCATCCAAATCTATTGTTGAAATTGAGGTAATTTATTCACTTTGTAATATTTTATACTGTATATATTTTTAATTTTTTATAATATTTTCTTCTATATATATAGGAAATTCTTATTAAGTCCACGCTCAAGATATCCAAAATAATTTTGTTCCAGCATCTCCAAAGAATCTTGTTGATCCATAATTGCATATGGGGGATTGATTTAGTCGTCAAGTCGAGCGTTCGAGTTAGGATCACGTGGAAAGTCAGCTAGAGTGATGTTTCATGGTTCTTGTTGTTTATGTGAAGTGCAGTATGAACATTTGAGATTGTAATTTTATTTTATGATATTGATATGCACTCATTTTGGTGGAAATGTAACGATGAATGAATTAACAAAGATAATTAATTTATTTTGGCATTAGATTGTATACATTTTTAATTTTGTATAGTTCTATACTTATTTGAAATTATTGCTACGGTTGTTCGATATAAGTTATAGTTTAGGATATTGTTTTAATTATTTTGTGATATAATATAATATACGGTCTCGATTATTGTCATAATTATTTAAGAAAAAATATCATCTCATTATGATTGTTCAAGACAACATATAGATTCGATTTGGAGATAAAATGTAGTCTCGGATATTGTCATGATTTTTCGCGACAATACAATCTCAAAAATTGTCATGTCCGTTTAATATAACATATTTTCAGAAATTATCACGGCAATTTGAGACAAAGTAGTCGCAAAATTTTTCACGGCCGTTCGAGACAAGATATAGTCTCGAAAATTATCACAACAATTGGATACAAAACATAGTCTTAGAAATTGTCACGATTGTTCGAGATAAAATATAATCTCAATGACGCTTGTGAGTATTTTCGAGACAATCTGTTGTCACGACATTTTTTCGGTCAATTTTGGCGAGATAATTTATCTCGCAATTCCGTGACTTCCCAGATTGTCACAATGAAATGGCCACGGCAAAGGTTTCGAGACAATTACCGTGAGTATTTAATTAATTGTCTCATATCTATCTAAATTTCGAGACAATTTTTCTGAGACAATTCTACATATTTCTGATAGTGAGAGGATGAATACCGAGCTATGGCGCCAACTTGTGCATAATTATTTGGATACTTGGTATATTTAGAGACCTAGAGTTTAATCATAATAACGTCATTGATATTTTTTATCATAATCTTCAAATTTTCACTAATCCTATTTTCCACGAGCAAACGAAGCATATTGAAATTGATTGTCCTATGGTAAGAGATTATATTGCAAAAGAGATAGTCACTACCAAAAATTTTTTCTTCTGAAAAATAATGTGCATATTTACTAATAGTTTAGACAGTAAGTCTATAACCCACTTATGGATTATTTGATCACTTCTAGTCTCTTGCATATTACTCTTTTCATTGAGGTTACTAGTTTGAAGTTGTGACATTTGTTCCAAAAGTACAAGTATTATGAAAGGCACTAGTAGTATTTATTTTGACTGCCAAAACTTGATATGGTTGTATTGGTTCAATTGGTTGCTTCTATTTGTTTGATTGCTTTTACCATGGTTGGTTTACTTTGTGTTCCTTATAACACTGTGTTTCCATGTGTTGAATCATGTAATGCTTTATTGCTATTTGTTTGATTAGAGTATAAATTTGTTTCAATTCTAATGAAATTGTGATTTTAGTATGTTAGTGTCTTGATTTTTAACACCAATGAAGGTACCAATGTAAAGGAAAGAGTTGTGCTACTATCTTAAAAGGTCAACTCAAGTGCATTGTATTATATTAAGATAAATTATGTGATATATACTTATGTTGTGTTGATGTGGGATATATATTGAGATTAATTGGGGCATGCGTTACATGGATTATTCTTATATGCTGTCAATTATGTATTATATTATATTAACATAAATTGTGTGATATTTGTTTATATTGTATTAACAATGATATATGTTGAGATTAACTGTTGCATGCATTGTGTAGATTATTGTCATATTTTATCGGTTCATAGACTATACATATATATATTATAAAAAAAGATTATGTTTTATGTACCTAATTGCCATGTAATATGTGTTGTTCGTGTATATATAATATTTTGTAGGTATATTAAAATGATGAGAATTTATTTATTATGTTTAATAAAAAAAATTCATATTTTTAAATAACAATATACTCCATCTGTTCGAGTCATATGTAACTATTTTGTTATTTTTCTTTGTCCAATTCTAATGTATCTATTTTTTTATAGCCTCCTAAGCTTTATATAATACTTCTTCCGTCCATTTTCTATTGTCCTAAAGTATATTTACACAGTTTTTTAGGTGATTGTCTTTTCGTTATGAATGGACAAATTTGTCCTTAAGTGTATGATAGAGATTAAAAGTAATAAATGAATGAAGGGTAAAAATATAAAATTTGTGTTTAAAAAATAAAATAGGACAATAGTTGTTGCACGTCCCAAATAAGAAAGTAGGACATTAGTTTGTGGACGGAAGGAGTATTACAAATAATGTCACTAAAAGTAAATAAATTTAAGGGTAATATTATCGTTTTATTTTTCTATATTACTATTACCTATAAAATGTAATATACTAAATATTTATATAAAAACAAAAAAAAAAAAAAACAACAAATGAATACATATGACCTAGACGAAGGAAGTATTATTTTTTATAAAATGGTTTTTTAAAAATTATATATACATACAAAAATTTATTTACTTATTTATTTATTTTTGTTCAGGAAGACAACATATGTGATGATAGGATAATTCGATTGGAACATTTTATTGGAAAATTTATTAGCGAAATTTGAGATATAACAAAATCTGAAAACACCAATCATATAGGATGCGAAATCAAAATTAAGTCTCACATGGCACGCGATTTCTTTGAAGCGAATTCGGCACTTCACCGATCGCCTCCCAGAATAGAACGAATTGTTAACGGAATAACATATTCCGCAAACCAAACTAGAAGGCCTTTTGGAAGAAAAATTTGCAGAGAATTTTCCTAAGGAATTTGAAGAGAGATTTTTCAAAGCGTTTTTTAGAATTGATTTTTTTTTTCCGTATTGAAAAAATTAAGAGGAAATATATAATATATTATATTTTTCATTAGATTATTTTGTATTTAATCACGTAAAGAGAAAAAACTGTCAAGTTCTGCACGTTGCATTCAGTTGCAACAAATTACTTTATCTGATTATTTAATTTTTTTCAAGTTAAAATAAATTAATCAGATAAAATATAGGACAAATCCATTTATTCGTCTTTCACATTTTTAATTAAATACCCAATAATTCCCCTCATGAAAGAGAAAAATAACAATTCACGAAAGAAAGATGAATTCTGCATAGGATAAGTAGGTTTTCTTTTTAACTTTCCTTTGAGCAGTACATAGTCTTTACTAATTGTCCAGTGGATACGTTGTCCTTGAAGTGTTCAATTTTC